TTTCTCATAGTATTCTCTTGTAATCCTTGGTATTTCCGTGGTATCCATTGTAATTTCTCCTCTTTCATTTCTAATTTTATTTACTTGAGTCTTTTCTCTTTTTTTCTTAGTAAGTCTGGCTAAGGGTTTGTCAATTTTGTTTGTCTTCTCAAAGAACCAGCTCTTTGTTTCATTAATCCTTTCTACTGTTTTTTGGTCTCAATTTCATTTATTTCTGCTCTGATTTTTATTATTTCTCTCCTTGTGCTGACTTTTGGCTTTATTTGTTCTTCTTTTTCTAGTTCTGTTAGGTGTAATTTAAGGTTGTTTATTTGGGCTTTTGCTTGTTTGTTAAGGTGGGCTTGTTTGGCTGTGAGTTTCCCTCTCAGAACCGCTTTTCCTGCCTCCCATGATTTGGTATCATTAGTTCCTTTTTGATTAATATTCAGATTTTTTTCAGTTCTGTGAACTGTATAATAAACAGTGCTTCAGTGAATGTCCTTGTATATGTATCTTTGTTAGCATATCTTTTATATATAATTCCTAGAAGTGGAATTGCTAGGTCAGAGGGCATGTACATTTTAAATTTTGGTAAATAGTGCCAAACTACCCTCCAGAAAAGTACAAATTTATACTCCCACTAACAGCAAATAAAACTGGTCAGTGCTTTTCAAGACTTTTGATACATACTGCCAAATTGTCTTCCAGAAAGATATCATTTCATGCTTCCACTAGCAGTGTGGGAGAGTGTCTATCTAATCACGCTTACACCAGATATTATTAAAATTGTTTTTAAGTTTTGTCAGCCTGTTATGTGAAAAGTGATTGTTTATTTTTTATCTCCAATGACTGGTGAGACTTTTTGACCATTTGTTCATTCTTCGTTTGTGAGTTGCCTGTTTATTTCCACTGTGCATTTTTCTTTTGGGTGTTTTGTTATAGATATGTAAGAGATCTTTGTATATGAAAGATATTCATCATTTTCCTGTCATATATATTGCTCATCCTTTTTTACAGTTTGTTATCTTCTTAAGTACATTGAAGTTTGGGAACCATTGGAGCTAAAACTGAGGCTCTAAGAAACAATTAAGTGACTTTCCCAAATTCACATAGGTAATTTATTCTTGACCTCAGGTTTACTGACTCCAGGTCTAGTGCTCATCACGTCTGTCTGTTTCTGTTTCTGTTGTATGATTCCTAAAATAATAATAAAGTTTTCATTTGTATCCTTAGAATATAATTCAGGAATAAATTCTTTTCACTTTTTTCCAGTTGCCTTAAAAGTGCTGTTGAGTGGATGTGAGAACTAACATCATATGCTATATAATCTAAATATAAAATATCTTTTTATTAGATATCTTAAAGGTTATGAGAATAAATTACTATATTTCTTCACTTATTAAGTATGTTGCACTAAGAGAATTTGTTTCTCTGGGAACAATGTCAACCTATAAGTCTCAGGATGGAAATGATGTGACATGGTAGAGATCCAGGTCTTTCAGCCTTTTGACTAGAAAGAATGATCAGAGAAGTCATTTATCAGTTTTACCATCTTTAGGCAGGTTGAAATGACTGTGATGTCTGTATTATCAAAGTAGTATGACCTCTAAACTTATTTTGCCCAAGGCAGATTTATTGTTGTTATTTCTTGTTGTTGTTGAGTCTAAAAAAGAGATTCTCTCAATTCCAAACCACCATATTATCTCCTAATGTCGAAATTTTCATTTAACGTGCAACCCTCTGTAATTGTTCATTCATAGAGTTTTAATGTAATTTATGTGTCTCATTCCTAATATGATAAACTTTCTATATTACTAGTTTTGGAGAAGACTTAATTCATTTTGGCTATGGAAATTTTACAAATTTCTTTTCCCAAATCCATCCCTAAAGTCAGATTATTAGGACGTGCTGTGTGTTTTCCTTGTTATCCCACAGATTCTTAACCAGGCCATTTAGGAACTGGTTCCACTTTCTCTGAGAGTATGTATAATTTCCTGATCACAATGGGATTTCGCTAGGCTTTTAAAACTACTTGCTTTAGATAATATAGACATTTAACTATGTTTATTCTTCCAATCCATGTGCATGGGATGTCTTTCAATTTCTTTATGTCATCATCCTTGGTAAGATTTATTCCTAGATATTTTATTCTTTTTGATGTAATTGTAAATGGTATTATCTTTTTGAGCTCTCTTTCTGTTAGTTCATTATTAGCATACAGAAATGCAACTGTAGATTGATTTTGTACCCTGCAACTTTGCTGTAGTTGTTGATTGTTTCTAATAGTTTTCCAACAGATTCT